TGGGGATGTAGGACACATGTCTGGACTGAGTAGTCAGTGTTAGGAGAGGGTCCACTCATACCTTGCGCGGCTTCAAACAGGGCAAGGGGTGTAAAGAATCCAGCGTGTCTGAGTTGTGGGCAGGTCACCGTTTATGTCAGCTGGCGCGTGACATCAGCAGGTCTGTGGAGGTCCGTTTTCAGAGGGGCGTTAGCTTTCTGAATGCCTGTGAGATGTGCGTTTGAGGTGAGGGTGATGTAAAGCGCCTGAAAGTGGACCTTACAAAGAAACTTGGGAGGAAGTGCCTGAGAGTTAATGCTAATTTAAAATGGTGTGACATTAATATAAGGGGGGAACCTCTAATTTTTTAGTGTGTCTATTAAAAGTGTAATCATATGGAAAGGTCTGAACTAGATTTGTTGCATATGATAGATAGTTCATATGACAAAGTCGGGGATGTGACTATATAAGAAGGGAAGAAAACAGTGAGTTAACAGAGAGGCGAGGGGAGAGTGAGGAGGTGATGAGACTCCTTTGGACGACACTCCCACTCTGTGCTTGGACATCGTCTAGGAAAAACTCACTTTTTTCCCCTACTAACACACTCACTGCCTGGAGCTAGTGCAGACCCCACAGGCTAAGGGCTCGGACCCACAAGACCGTCCCTGCAGCACAGACACCAATTACGAGTAGTAGGTCCCCAAGTTACCCACAACTTCTTTCCAACTTGGCTACAAATCAGAGGTTCTCAGGACCCCTCCCCTACTCCCAGCCTTGGATTCAATCACTTGCTAGACCAGCTCACAAAACTCAGGGAAACACTTATGTGTACTAGTTTATTATATAATAAAGGATACAGATAAACAGCCAGACAAAGAGATATATAAAGTCTGGAAGGGTCCCCAGCGTAGGATCTTCTGTCCCTGTGGAGTTGGGGTGCACTAGTTTCCCAACACATGGATGTGTTCACCAACCCAGAAGCTCCTCCAACTTGATACTTTGGGGATTTCCATCATGTAGGCATGATTAATCATCAGCTCAGTCTCCAGCCCTGCCTCCCTGCCTGGAAGGAAGAGGTGGGGCTGAAAATTCCTAGCTTCTAAGCATGGCTTGGTCTTTCTGGGGACAAAGCCCCCATTCAGGAGCCCACCCAAAATCACCTCATTAGAACAAAAGACACTCCTCTCACCCAGGAAATTCCAAGGGACTTAAGAGCTCTATGTCAGGAATGGGACTCAGAGACCAAATATTAGAACAAAAGATGCTCTAGGGCTCTTATCACTTAGGAAACTACAGGAGTTTCAGGAGCTCTGTGCCAGGAGCCAGGGGAAGAGACCGATATGTATTTTTTGCATATGTCACAGACGTGGATACTGTTGGAGTCACAACTCGTGGATTCTAAGTAAAAGAATCTGGAAACGCCTTCCCTACTTCCCTTACCTTTAGTGTTCATAAAGCAAACAGATCTTAAGCAGAAGCAGAGGCAGGGGCCTCCCCACCCCCTGCTGGGCCTCCAACCCCACCCCCAGGAGCAGCTGCATTCCTTCTGATGACAGGCACAGAGGAGGGAACATGAGGAAGATCCAGGGTCAGGGATCTACCCTCAACTAGATACGAAGCTCCTCGAAAGCCATCTCCTTTGAGGAGAGACTTGTGGACTGATCTTAACTAAACCTTTCTCGTTCAGAGACCGCACAGACCCAGGCAAGGGAAGCTTGAACACCATGGTGTCCTTCAGCTTCCACTGAGCTCACCGGGTGAGGAAGCATGGCCAAGCCAGGCACCAGAGGAAAGTTTCAGATAGAAAACCTGGGAATAGGGCTTCCCTGGTGGCGCAGTGGTTGAGAGCCTGCCTGCCAATGCAGGGGACACGGGTTCGAGCCCTGGTCTGGGAGGATCCCACATGCTGCAGAGCAACTAGGCCTGTGAGCCACAACTACTGAGCCTGCGCGCCTGGAGCCTGTGCTCCGCAACAAGAGAGGCCGCGATAGTGAGAGGCCCGCACACTGCAATGAAGAGTGGCCCTCGCTTGCCACAACTAGAGAAAGCCCTCGCACAGAAACGAAGACCTAACACAGCCATAAATAAATAAATAAATAAATAAATAATTAAAAAAGAAAACCTGGGAATATTCCCTGGGAGGAGGGATTGCTTCCACTCAAAAGAGATGGGCACTAAGACCAAGGCCACCCATTCCAGGGTTTCACACACAGCCCAATGCAGCCACCCTCACGCCAGCAGCAGCACCACCTGCATGACCCAGCATGGCAGAGGCTGCCTCACATTTTGTTCCAGTGTTCAGGTGTCACTGTCACAAGAACTGGTATGGGAAAGGCCTTCACAGCCTTCAGAACGCGTTCACATCCAATGTCTCTTGAAACAATAATACTGGGGACTTCCCTGGTGGCACAGTGGTTAAGAATCCACCTGCCAATGCAGGGGACACGGGTTCAAGCCCTGGTCCGGGAAGATCCCACACGCCGGGGAGCAGCTAAGCCCGTGCTCCACAACTCCTGAGCCTGCGCTCTAGAGCCCATGAGCCACAACTACTGAGCCCACGTGCCACAACTACTGAAGCCCACGCGCCTAGAGCCCGTGCTCCACAACAAGAGAAGCCACCGCAACGAGAAGCCCGTGCACCGCAACAAAGAGTAGCCCCTGCTCGCCGCAACTAGAGAAAGCCCGCGCACACCAACGAAGACCCAACGCAGCCAATGAATAAATAAATAAATAAAATTCTTAAAAACAACAACAACAACAATAATACTGAAAGTATCGCTATTTTTACCGTGTAATAAATACAGAGGCCTACGTGCAGGAAGGTAAAGCAACTTTGCCAAATAATAAAAGGTAGAGCCAGAACTTGAACTTGGGTTCGGAATCTAAATCGCAGGCTCTTTGCAGAACAAAGGTAAGTATATACCAAACACCCAGAATTAATGCAGAGAGCTGCCCACCCGCAGCCCCTTTCCGGTATCCAGATAAATACCCATCCAAGTGCGGAAGTGGCCTTCAAGAGAGGATCTGCACTGCTCCCCTAGCCTGACACCTTCACCTCCTAGTCACCAGTCACCGAGGGAAACGTGGAACTTGACTCGGAAAGTAGTCAAACGTGTGTGTGGAGTGGGGGAGGGCAGTGTTATTGCAGAGTGATTCAGAGCACAGAGTTTAGAGTCAGACATGCATGAGTCTCAACCTTACTAGCTGTACTTCCTTAAGCAAATCATTCTTCTTCTCTAAGCTTTAATGCCCGTATTCATAAAATAGGAATAATGCCTCAGGAACTCTGAGGATTCAATCAAATTATGTACGTAGGGCTCTGAGCATGGAGCCTGGTGCAGAGCAAGCACTTAGCTTTTCTTATTTTACACACAGACACAAAACTAAATATGACCATAGATACCACCTGCTGATGAACCGCCATTAGCATGCTCTCTTGCTGATAACTAACGTCCTTGTGGGGACTTGTTAATTAAACTGCCTCTATCGCCTCAGTCTCGAGAGAAATGAACATGAACATAGAGGTATGGAATGGAAAGAGCACTGATTAGCAGTAAAGAAAACTTGGATTTCATCTGCAACTTCACTACTAACGTGCTGTGTTGACCCTGAATGTGTCAACCCCCCTTCTGTCACTTCCACTGCCTGTGAAATGAGGAGGTCAGAAGAGATCTCTAAGGCTCTTCACAGACTCTGACTCTGTCGTTCCTCCAGGGAAACGAGGCAGAAGGCAAGCAGTCAGCAAAATGGTGCTGAACCCCTCCTGGCTTGAACACTGCGAACTCCCGCCTCAAATGGCTGGCCTGAGAGTTTCAGCCACTTGGAAAAATTCTCTTTCCCCTTGGATGGGACTCTTGAACCTCAGCCAGGACTCAGAGGTCCCAACTGCAAACAGTCCCAAGTCATTCGGTAACAAAGGGAAAGGCACCCAGGCCAGCGAAATGGGGAAGATAAGGATCATCACCAACTGGAAAATGCCCCATCCACCCAGACCCCCAACCACCCCAAACCTCAAGGTGAAGGCACCCGTCACCCGAAGTTGTCCTTCTCACAGTTAAGTCAACGACTCCCCTGAAAAATCAAAAATACAAAAAGCTGTCCTCTCCCAAACTCAGGACCCTCGAACGCTGCTACTAAATGCCGAAAACCTAACCAGCTCTGTGATCGGCCTGTCTTGCCTGCCAACAGTTTCAACCCTGCGAACGTTGTTTATTGTATCTTGCAGCTGCGATGGATTCGTTTATTATGCTTCAGTCTTCTTTGGTTAGCAGCGCTTTATCCTTCTCTCCATAACATAAATCCAGCCCCCCCAAAACGTGAAATCTTGGATTTCTCGTGCCTAGGGTGCCCCATTCCCTTCCCTTCCTCGCCTGACTTGAAACCCCCTTCTGCCTCCTTTTTAAAACTTTTCCTGAGACACCAGGAGAAGGATATTTAGAGCTTTCGTTTTCGGAAAAGAAAGAAAAAATGAAGGGAAAAAAAGCCCCAAAACACACAACTTACGTTCATCCAGGAGTGCACAGTTTGGGAAAGAAGAAAACAGAGCTATAATCCACTGCGTTCCCCCAACCCAAAAAGAAGAATCTGTTGTGAAACGCTTCTTTTTCCACTTTGCCGGTGGAGGAGCCCGGTGGTAGGCATACATCCACAGGCTGATGCAAGATGCCTTTGAGAGAAACCTCACATTCTGAGGATTCCTGGGAAAGCGCCAGGGATCCCAGCATCCAATATATTGCACATTTGGTTTCAATTAGGAAGGGGGTTGGGGAGGGAAGAAGGAAAGTCACCAATCAGAGCTGTTTTCTGTTTAGAGACTATTTCTTTTGACCCAAGGGACCACGGGCAAAGCTATAATTTACAGCAAAACCCATTCATAGAAGAAAAAATATGTATAACCATAGGACAGACTTAAAGACACAGCTCCCTTCTGCCTTATCCCCACCGCATCCATCCCCAAGCCCTCCCCTTCTTCCATCTAAGACTCGGTCCCCACCCTGTGACCCCCACCTCATTTTTCTTACTTGAGCTGAAGCTATGAGCACAACTTAAGGTTTGGATTCTCTTCCAATTGACGCTTCCAGGACAGTTGGGTCACACACATGGAGCTGATCTTTAGTGTTTTATCCATGAAAGCCCAGAGCTGAGCCCTTCCCCTAAAAGATTTGATTTAATCCTCCCTGCTCCGGAACTATCTCTCCCACCAAAAAAAAAAAAAAAAAACTGGATAGTTTGAGAGTCTAGGATTCCTATTTTTTTCCACTCAATTCCCAGTTGGTTGCTCCCTCTGAGGGTCTGTGGCTGTCCTGAATCCATGCTGCTAAATGGAAACACAAGCGTTTGTGAGGACTTTCTAAATTATTTTGAAACTTTTTTCATTTTCCTCTTTTTTTTTTTTCCTATCCACGGCCATGAAGAGAGATCATGTGAAAGGGGAGTGTAAGTGACAGGGAGGAACCCTTCCTTGGCTCTTTAAAAAGAGTAACTAATAATTCTTCCCATCCATCAAGGCTCCTGGCATTAACCCTTCCAAGCCTGGATCATTCTTTACCAAGCACAGGCTTGGTCTGCCCTAGAGGTCTTGATTCTCTGTGAGTACAGGAAATGCAGGGTAAGCAGAGACTCAAGTTCAGGAGATCTGTAGAGAAAGGTAGATGGCAAAAGAGAGGTTAAGAAGACCTAACCGTGGCCTCCCTGGTGGCGCAGTGGTTGAGAGTCCGCCTGCCGATTCAGGGGACATGGGTTCGTGCCCCGGTCCGGGAAGATCCCACACGCCGCGGAGCGGCTGGGCCCGTGAGCCATGGCTGCTGAGCCTGCGCGTCCGGAGCCTGTGCTCCGCAACGGGAGAGGCCACAGCAGTGAGAGGCCCGTGTACCACACAGACAAAAAAAGACCTAACCCACCTCTGAGTGTTGGCCTCCTCGTAAAGAGACTTACTGCCTCTGGGCTCTTAAGCTATCCCCAACTCTTTTCTGCTTGTACTTTGGCAGGCAATCTGGGATTGCATGCCCCCAGGAGGAGCAAGAAGAGAGGTGTGACAAACAGGAAGAGGAGAGTGGAAAGAGATCATGGAAGGACGTCCCCATGGTAAGTTTGGAGCGAGAGGTACTTCAGGCGAGGAGCAGGGAGGCAAGAAGACCTCCAACTGGGATGCCATGAGGAGACAAGCTGCCAGTGTTCAGTCCCTAAAAAAGCCCTTAAGCTCAGTCAGAAAGTGGCCTTTCATATCTGTACTTGCCAGAAAGAAGAGGACACAGAGAATCCGGAGAGTTCTTAGAGGGCAGCCACAGAGATGATTAAAGGTAGAAAACAAGACCTAAGAGGAAACACTAGAACTAGGGTTATTTTACAAAGAGAAGAAACAGCACAGAGATAAACCTATTAAGAAGACTTCAAATAACTTAGAAAGCCCAAAGTTAGCTGAGGGTGACCAACTCAGCTCAACTCAATAAATATATATTGAGCATTTATCAGGCACTTTACTGAGTGCTTGCCTGAACCAACTACAGACAACTTGTTATAGAAATAGTCCTAGAATCCTCCCAAATATCTAGCCCTGTAATTGCTTACCTCTTTGGCATGACCATGAAGAACGCACTGATAGCCTGACCTATAATTTCACAGATTTGGTGAGACTATAAGTCAGATACGGAAAACAGTATAATAATTTCATAAAGCCAGAAGCTAATAAAGGACAGATAAAGTATGAATCCTCAAACACCAGTATTTAAGGTGGTTCTACTCCATAGTCAGGGTTGGTTGTTTTTCTGTGTATGTGTATAACTAGGAATCCAGCTTGAGCCAGTGATGCTGACTCCAAAACTCAGACACACTGGGGTCTGTCTGAGGAATGACGGGTAGCCCTGTCAAGGGTCTATTGGTATGCAGACCAAGGAGACTTTTGGGAAGAACTCGCTCAGTGAAGAAAGAACCAAGGGACAAAAGACAGGCACCAAGTGCAACCAAGCTGTGTCAAAAGTAAGGAGAAGCTCTAAGAAAACTACCATGTCTATAACTCAGGTTATTCTTATGCAAATCTGGGGTCTAATCATGAACTCTATGCTACCAAAAATAGAGTAAGGAAAAGCTGAAAGCAGTATTTTACTAAAATATTTGAGGGATACTGAAAGCATCAGGAGGGATCATCAGATTTGAGTCTACAGATCTGGTTGGGGGAGAGGGGTATGCTCCTTCAGATATGACAACAGCCACGGCTGCACGAAGCCACAGCTGAAAAGAAAGACAATGGCAAATGCCACTTCAAAGTTGAAAGCAGTGATTCGCAGAATACACAGAAAACATTTCCTGGAGATTCTCATAATTATTTGACAGAGTTTTGAGTAAGCCTGGAATTCTTAAAATTGTGGGAACAGATGTGGAGAAATATGATTTCGTTACTTTTTTGTGAACAGATTTTGCCCCCTGGACTGGCTTGGGAAACATGAGTCATTGCAATCAGAATTATTTATGTTCCATGGGAGGTAACATATCCTAGTTATGAGGACTGTTTCACACTAGAAACGAATTACTGACAAACAGTATAGAATTCCATTACCTGGACTTCACTAAAAATAAGATAGATCTATCTGGAATGGTCAGGATGCAGGATTAACTGGAAGAAATGTGCAAGATTACTTTTCAAGATCTTTTCTAGTCTACAAACAAAGGTTCAGGTAAATACAAGTGTTAAGAGCTGAAATAACTACAGTATTTCTGTCTCCAAATTCACAAGGGTTGGATACATTTGTGGTGCCATAGGAAGTCAAATAAAGGATGGAAATAAAAGGAACGTAACTAACTCAGTTTAAGAAATACACACACACACACACACACACACAAATCTTAAGAGGCTATATGGGTATTCACAGAAACCAAACCCAGTTGGTACATTTAAGCTTCACAAGGAATTAAAATCAGAAATTAGCCACCAGTAACCTAATGCCTAATTAATTGTCTTCTCTTTTCTCTTTCTTTTCCTTCTCTTTCTCCTCCTTCTTTTCTCCCTCTCCTCCCTCTCTTCTTCCCTCCCTCCCTATATCTCTCTGTCTCATTCATTCATTTATTTCCCATCTCTCTCTCCTTATCTCTACACATCTTGCTTTAACCTATTCTTTTTCAGCAGACCAGACTTTTCTACTTCTTTTCACACATTATTAAAGGTGGTTACCCTAAAATGATGTCTTATCTCTCAAAAATATATATATCTCCTCACTTCAAGTGAATGAGAAAGAATGACTAGTTTTTTGAAGCCCAGTTCTGGAATCCTGAGATGAAGAATTCGATTGGTCAGGTGTGTTTCATGTATTCATCCTCTATCTCTAAACTGTGAGGGCAATGGGTCATGTAATATGAAAATTGCTCCATCACGTTCACAGGTGGGTCAATTCTCAGAAAAGGGGTGTCATACATTGAAAGATAAGCCAGTATATCTGGACAAAACTATAATTCAAAAAGATACATGCACCCCTATGTTTATAACAGCACTATTCACAATAGCCAAGACATGGAAACAACCTAAATGTCCATACAGATGAATGGATAAAGATGTGGTACATATATACAATGGAATACTATTCAGCCATAAAAAGGAACGAAATAATACCATTTGCTTCAACATGGATGCAACTAGAGATTATCATACTAAGTCAAGTCAGAAAGAGAAAGACAAATGCCATATGATATCACTTACACGTGGAATCTAAAATATGACACAAATGAATTTATCTACGAAACAGAAACAGACTCACAGACATAGAGCACAGATCTGTGGTTGCCAAGGGGGAGGGGGTGGGGGTGGAAGAGAAAAGGACTGGGAGTTTGGGGTTAGTAGATGCAAACTATTACATATAAAATGGATAAACAATAAGGTCCTACTGTATAGCACAGAGAACTATATTCAATACCCTGTGATAAACCATAATGGAAAATAATATATAAAAAAGAACGTATATAGGTGTATAACTAAGTCACTTTGCTGTACAGCAGAAATTAACACAACATTGTAAGTCAATTATACTTCGATAAAAAATACATTTAAGAAAAAAGAAAGACAAGCCAAAAGTATCTGCTACATCAATAATTAACAAAGCCTGACAATCCCTGGATTTTATTTTATTTTATTTTATTTTTTTTCATTTTAACATCTTTATTGGAGTATAATTGCTTTACAATAGTATGTTAGTTTCAGCTTCACAACAAAATGAATCAGTTATATATATACATATGTTCCCATATCTCTTCCCGCTTGCGTCTCCCTCCCTCCCACCCTCCCTATCGCACCCCTCCAGGCGGTCACAAAGCACCGAGCTGATCTCCCTGTGCTATGCGGCTGCTTCCTACTAGCTATCTACCTTACGTTTGGTAGTGTATACATGTCCATGCCACTCTCTCGCTTTGTCACAGTTTACCCTTCCCCCTCCCCATATCCTCAAGTCCATTCTCTAGTAAGTCTGTGTCTTTATTCCTGTTTCACCCCTAGGTTTTTCATGACATTTTTTTTTCTTAAATTCCATATATATGTGTTAGCATACGGTATTTGTCTCTCTCTTTCTGACTTACTTCACTCTGTATGACAGACTCTACGTCTATCCACCTCATTACAAATAGCTCAATTTCATTTCTTTTTATGGCTGAGTAATGTTCCATTGTATATATGTGCCACATCTTCTTTATCCATTCATCTGATGATGGACACTTAGGTTGTTTCCATCTCCGGGCTATTGTAAATAGAGCTGCAATGAACATTTTGGTACATGACTCTTTTTGAATTTTGGTTTTCTCAGGGTATATGCCCAGTAGTGGGATTGCTGGGTCATATGGTAGTTCTATTTGTAGTTTTTTAAGGAACCTCCATACTGTTCTCCACAGTGGCTGTATCAATTTACATTCCCACCAACAGTGTAAGAGGGTTCCCTTTTCTCCACACCCTCTCCAGCATTTATTGTTTCTAGATTTTTTGATGATGGCCATTCTGACTGGTGTGAGATGATACCTCATTGTAGTTTTGATTTGCATTTCTCTAATGATTAGTGATGTTGAGCATTCTTTCATGTGTTTGTTGGCAGTCTGTATATCTTCTTTGGAGAAAAGTTTATTTAGGTCTTCTGCCCATTTTTGGATTGGGTTGTTTGTTTTTTTGTTATTAAGCTGCATGAGCTGCTTATAAATTTTGGAGATTAATCCTTTGTCAGTTGCTTCATTTGCAAATATTTTCTCCCATTCTGGGGGTTGTCTTTTGGTCTTGTTTATGGTTTCCTTTGCTGCGCAAAAGCAAT